CCATAGCAGTCTTAGTCCCTCCACCCTTTCCTCTTGTAACCTCTCTCCCTCTACCATAGCAGTCTCTCCACCCTTTCCTCTTGTAACTCTCTCCTCTTACTATAGCAGTCTGTCCCTCCACCCCTTTCCTCTTGTAACCTCTCTCCCTCTACCATAGCAGTCTAGTCCCTCCACCCTTTCCTATTGTAAACCTCTCTCCCTCTACCATAGCAGTCTAGTCCCTCCACCCCTGTTCCTCTTGTAACCTCTCTCCCTCTACCATAGCAGTCTCTCCACCTTTCCTCTTGTAACCTCTCTCCCTCTACTATAGCAGTCTAGTCCCTCCCACCCTTTCCTCTTGTAACCTCTCTCCCTCTACCATAGCAGTCTAGTCCCTCCACCCTTTCCTATTGTAACCTCTCTCCCTCTACCATAGCAGTCTAGTCCCTCCACCCTTTCCTCTTGTAACCTCTTTTCCCTCTACCATAGCAGTTCTCCACCCTTTTCCCCTTGTAACCTCTCTCCCTCTACTATAGCAGTCTAGTCCCTCCACCCTTTTCCTCTGTAACCTCTCTCCCTCTAAACCCTAGCAGTCTAGTCCCTCCACCCTTTCCTCTTGTAAACCTCTCTCCCTCTACTATAGCAGTCTAGTCCCATAACCTTTCCCTTGTAACCTCTCTCCCTCACTATAGCAGTCTAGTCCTCCACCCTTTCCTTTTGTAACCTCTCTCCCTCTACTATAGCAGTCTCCTCCAACCTTCCTTTGTAACCTCTTTTCCCTCTACTTTTTAGAGTCTAGTCCCTCCACCCTTTCCTCTTGTAACCTCTTTCCCCCTACTATAGCAGTCTAGTCCCTCCACCCTTTCCTCTTGTAACCCCTCTCCCCCTACTATAGCAGTCTAGTCCCTCCACCCTTCCTCTTGTAACCTCTCTCCCCCCTACCATAGCAGTCTAAGTCCCTCCACCCTTTCCTATTGTAACCTCTCTCCCTTACCAAAAGCAAATCTGTCCTCCACCCTTTCCCCCTTGTTAACCCCCCTCTCCCTCTACCATAGCAGTCTCTCCACCCTTTCTCTTGTAACCTCTCTCCCCCTACTATAGGGAGTCTAGGGCCCTCCACCCTGCCTCTTGTAACCTCTCTCCCTCTACAATAGCGTATCCCACCCTTTCCTCTTGTAACCTCTCTCCCTCTACTATAGCAGTCTAGTCCCTCCACCCCTTTTCCCCTTTTTAAAACCCCTCTCCCTCTACTATAGAAGTCTAGTCCCTCCACCCTTTCCTCTTGGGAACCTCTCCCTCTACTATAGCAGTCTGTCCCTCCACCCTTTCCTCTTGTAACCCCTCTCCCTCTACTATAGCAGTCTAGTCCCTCCACCCTTTCCTCTTGTAACCTCTCTCCCTCTACCATAGCAGTCTAGTCCCTCCACCCTTTCCTCTTGTAACCTCTCTCCCTCTACTATAGCAGTCTCGTCCCTCCACCCTTTCCTCTTGTAAACCTATCCCCTCTACCATAGCAGTCCCTCCACCCTTTCCTCTTGTAACCTCTCTCCCTCTACTATAGCAGTCTAGTCCCTCCAACCCTTTCCTCTTGTAACCTCTCTCCCTCTACTATAGCAGTCTAGTCCTCCAACCCTTTCCTCTTGTAACCTCTCTCCCTCTACTATAGCAGGTCTAGTCCCATCCACCCTTTCCTCTTGTAACCTCTCTCCCTCTACTATAGCAGTCTAGTCCCTCCACCCCTTTCCTCTTGTAACTCTCTCCCTCTACTATAGCAGTCTAGTCCCTCCACCCTTTCCTCTTGTAACCTCTCTCCCTCTACTATAGCAGTCTAGTCCCTCCACCCTTTCCACCCTTTCCTCTTGTAACCTCTCTCCCTCTACTATAGCAGTCTAGTCCCTCCACCCTTTCCTCTTGTAACCTCTCTCCCTCTACTATAGCAGTCTCTCCACCCTTTCCTCTTGTAACCTCTCTCCCTCTACCATAGCAGTCTAGTCCCTCCACCCTTTCCTCTTGTAACCTCTCTCTCTCTACCATAGCAGTCTAGTCCCTCCACCCTTTCCTCTTGTAACCTCTCTCCCTCTACTATAGCAGTCTAGTCCCTCCACCCTTTCCTCTTGTAACCTCTCTCCTTCTACTATAGCAGTCTAGTCCCTCCACCCTTTCCTCTTGTAACCTCTCTCCCTCTACTATAGCAGTCTAGTCCCTCCACCCTTTCCTCTTGTAACCTCTCTCCCTCTACTATAGCAGTCTAGTCCCTCCACCCTTTCCTCTTGTAACCTCTCTCCCTCTACCATAGCAGTCTAGTCCCTCCACCCTTTCCTCTTGTAACCTGAAGGTTTGGATCCTAATCAACCCATCCACTGGGAGTACATCTGTTGTTGAAGTACAGTAGATCAATAAAGCTACAGTACTCAAGCAGTAGTCAAGCTGTTTATTTCTTTAGTCTAAGACGTTGGGGTCAGCTGAGGGGTGGGGCTAAACTGAGGGGTGGGGTTAAACTGAGGGGTGGGGTTAAACTGATGGGTGGGGTTAAACTGACATGGAATTGTTTTAAGATGGTCATACTATGGACCATTTAGCTATTTGATTTATAATTTTAGGACCCCTTTAGGCATATAAAAAAAAATATATATATGTTTTGATAAAATAATGATTTTGGCCTTTACTACTAAAGCTCATAGAAACACATTGAATAACACTTTCATAAATGGCAAAGAAACAAGGTTTTGGAGTGTCTGTCAATATCTAAGACATATAAAAAAACGCAGTATTTGTTATTTATTTTTAACACATATTTAAGCTCTTCATTCTTCCATTTGTTTTTTTTTAACCGGTACCGGTTACCTTCAGACGAGTCCCGTGACACTTCGAAGGGTCGTAGAACAAAACAGGGAACACCATCGAGCTCGTGAGAGTCTCCCCTTTCCATATAGTGGTCAATAGTTTGTTTCAGACGCTACAGACGTTTTCGGGCTTCTCTAGCTGACAACCACCTCTCTAGCTCTGACAACCACCTCTCTAGCTCTGACACCCACCTCTCTAGCTCTGACACCCACCTCTCTAGCTCTGACACCCACCTCTCTAGCTCTGACACCCACCTCTCTAGCTCTGACACCCACCTCTCTAGCTCTGACACCCACCTCTCTAGCTCTGACACCCACCTCTCTAGCTCTGACACCCACCTCTCTAGCTCTGACACCTTTCACCTCTGATGCGGAACTGCGACATCGGCGATGCGGAGGATTGAGACCTATCCAATGGAAAACAGATAACTCAAACTTAAACTGATGGATTTTGATGGGGATTTTTTTGCTATGTAACTTAGATTGACACACCGGTGCATCAATTGACTCTAGGGGGAAAGGCCTTGTTAGTGCATACAGTCGTGGTCAAAAGTTTTGAGAATGAAACAAATACTAATTTTCACTAAGTCTGCTGCCTCAGTTTTGATGATGGCAGTTTGCATATACTCCAGAATGTTATGAAGAGTGATCAGATGAATTGCAATTAATTGCAAAGTCCCTCTTTGCCATGAAAATGAACTTAATCCCCCAAAAACATTTCCACTGCATTTCAGCCCTGCCACAAAAGGACCAGCTGACATCATGTCAGTGATTCTCTCGTTAACACAGGTGAGAGTGTTGACGAGGACAAGGCTGGAGATCACTCTGTCATGCTGATTGAGTTAGAATAACAGACTGGAAGCTTTAAAAGGAGGGTGGTGCTTGAAATCATTGTTCTTCCTCTGTTAACCATGGTTACCTGCAAGGAAACACGTGCCGTCATCATTACTTTGCACAAAAAGGGCTTCACAGGCAAGGATATTGCTGCTAGTAAGATTGCACATAAATCAACCATTAATCGGATCATCAAGAACTTCAAGGAGAGAGGTTCAATTGTTGTGAAGAGGGCGTCAGGGCGCCCAAGAAAGTCCAGCAAGTGCCAGGACCGTCTCCTAAAGTTGATTCAGCTGCGGGATCGGGGCACCACCAGTGCAGAGCTTGCTCAGGAATGGCAGCAGGCAGGTGTGAGTGCATCTGCACGCACAGTGAGGCGAATACTTTTGGAGGATGGCCTGGTGTCAAGAAGGGCAGCAAAGAAGCCACTTCTCTCCAGGAAAAACATCAGGGACAGACTGATATTCTGCAAAAGGTAGAGGGATTGGACTGCAGAGGACTGGGGTAAAGTCATTTTCTCTGATGAATCACCTTTCCGATTGTTTGGGGCATCTGGAAAACACCTTGTCCGGAGAAGACAAGGTGAGCGCTACCATCAGTCCTGTGTCATGCCAACAGTAAAGCATCCTGAGACCATCCATGTGTGGGGTTGCTTCTCAGCCAAGGGAGTGGGCTCACTCACAATTTTGCCTAAGAACACAGCCATGAATAAAGAATGGTACCAACACATCCTTCGAGAGCAACTTCTCCCAACCATCCAAGAAAAGTTTGGTGACGACCAATGCCTTTTCCAGCATGATGGAGCACCTTGCCATAAGGCAAAAGTGATAACTAAGTGGCTCGGGGAACAAAACATCAACATTTTGGGTCCATGGCCAGGAAACTCCCCAGACCTTAATCCCATTGAGAACTTGTGGTCGATCATCAAGAGGTGGGTGGACAAACAAAAACCCACAAATTCTGACAAACTCCAAGCATTGATTATGCAAGAAGAAGGGTCAACACTGCAAATATTGACTGCATAAACTTAATGTAATTGTCAATAAAAGCCTTTGACACTTATGGAATGCTTGTAATTATACTTCAGTCTACCATAGTAACATCTGACAAAAATATCTCATAACACTGAAGCAGCGAACTTTGTGAAGACCAATACTTGTCATTCTCAAAACCTTTGACCACGACTCTAAATCAAATTAGCTTTTGAATTTCCTGTCTTTTTCGGCTTCAGACAAAAGCTGATATTTCACTTTTAAAAAACCATAGTTTTTTGTGTTAATATATCTGATATTTACAATATCAGCTTAGACAACACTGCAACAGGAGCAACAACAAGCCACAGTGCTAGGTAGGGGTCTGGTAGTGTGTTTGAGTGTTTGGTAATGGACTGACCCTGGTGATGTCCTCTGTTGAAGATCCTCCAGAGTGCATGGGCAAGGTGCGGTGCTGCAGCTGGGGGGAGAGCAGCTGAAGGCTGGAGGCTCTGGTGGGCATCCCTTGTCCCACCGCCAGCCCCCCCTCACTGCCTCCCCCGTGGGTCCTCTGACGCTCCCGTCGCACGTACATGGAGTGGCGGTGAGGTCTATGCTGGGAGGAGAAGGGGGAGGTGTATCCCAGGCCGTAGGGGAAGGCCTCATGAGGGGCGGACAGGGAGTGACCATGGCTTCCACCTCCTCCTCCTCCTGGGTCTCCTCCCTCAGGGGACTTGGCCTCCTCAGAGCTCTTGTGTCGTGAGGAGGTGCGTCGGGAGGAGGAGTCTAGCGTGTTGCTCTCTCTCTCCGAGCGCCGGCCTGCAGGGCTGTGACCATGATGACCGGTCGCCGGGCTGCCAGGAGCGTTGAGGTCCAGACAGGAAGTAGGGAAGTAGCGTGATGGAGGCTCGTCACCATGGAGACGTGGGTCGCTAAGGTTCCCTACTGACTTGGCATCGCTGAGGGCCCCATGGCTCTTAGACAGGTTTATATAGGAGCCTCCTGTTAACCCTAACCCTCCTGCAGACTTAGAGGACCCATGCTCCCCAATGTAGCTGTGGCGGTCTCGGTCTCTGGCTCTGTGTTTGTCTCCAGATGTCAGGGTGCTGGTCTTTCCCTCTACGAAGCTATGGCGGTTCTGCTGAGAGCGGCTGTTGGACTTGAGGTACTTGGCTCCCGGCCCGTCTGATGCCTTGGCTCCGGAGGTGAAGTCAAAGTCTTTGTTCTTGGTCTCTTTGGGGTTGAGGAGGTGGGGTAGGTTGTTCTTGGTCTCTTTGGGGTTGAGGAGGTGGGGTAGGTTGTTGTTGGCTAGGTCCTTGGAGCATGAGGCTGAGCGGTTCAGGAGCTGGGGGGGCGGGGCATAGCTCTTGGGGCGGAGGATGGGGCTCAGGCTGTTGCCGTTCAGGAAGCTGTCGTTGCTAGGGTGATTGCTAGGTTGGAGGTCTTCGTGACGGGGCAGGCTGGAACAGTCTCTACTAGCTGAGCGGTGGTGGTCTGAACCCTTAACACCATGACTCCTGCCCAGGAGGAGAGGGAGAGAGAGAGAGAGAGATTACCAGGAGGAGAGGGAGGGAGGAAATGAGGGAGGGAGGGAGGAAATGAGAGAGAGAGAGAGAGAGAGAGAGAAGAGAGGAGATTACCAGGAGAGAGGGAGGGAGGAAAATTGAGGGAGAGACGAAGAGAGACAAGAGAGAGAGACAGGAGAGAGACAGAGGAGAGAGAAGGAGAGAAGAAGAGTGAGAGAGAGAGGAGAGAGAGAGAGAGAGGAGAGGGAGAGAGGGGGGAGAGGGCTTTCATATCCATATTTGTTTCTTTCTATTCAGCTGGATATATGACAAATCATTGAAGATGTTCACAACATATTGAGAATGGCAGAGTAGTTATAAATGTTCACAACATATTGAGAATGGCAGAGTAGTGAATGTTCACAACATATTGAGAATGGCCAGAGTAGTAAATGTTCACAACATATGAGAATGGCAGAGTAGTAATGTTCACAAACATATTAGAATGGCAGAGTAGTGGAATGTTCACAAACATATTGAGAATGGCAGAGTAGTGAATGTTCACAACATATTGAGAATGGCAGAGTAGTAAATGTTCACAACATATTGAGAATGGCAGAGTAGTGAATGTTCACAACATATTGAGAATGGCAGAGTAGTGAATGTTCACAACATATTGAGAATGGCAGAGTAGTAAATGTTCACAACATATTGAGAATGGCAGAGTAGTAAACAATATACTGTTCCAGCTCCATGCCTGGTGTAATACTGTTGTCTACCTGGTGGGGGCGCTGTTGTCTGTGTGATGAGGCTTCCTCTTAGAGGAGCGGACTGGTGTGGGTGCAGGAGGCTCAGGTCGCGGTGTCTGGAAGGCATGGTGGTCCAAACACTGCTCCGTTAGGAACCGCTCTGTAGGACTCAACAACAGCAGGCTCTGCACACACACACACACACACACACACACACACACACACACACACACACACACCAACACACACACACACACCAACACACACAGTGTCAACATGTCATCAACAAGCTCCCCTCCCAGTCCTCGCTAGTATGCAGTATGAGTCATCATGATTATCATCAACATCAGACTGGAATAGACCAGCTTCACACTCTATATTAATATTCAGGGAAATGAAAAGCTCCAACTTTGGTTTTAATTGAGCTGGCCATGTGAGTCACTAGGGAGAGATGTCTTGTCCAAAAAGCTCCTTGGACATGGTGGTGTCTTTCTCCCTGAGGTTAGGGTTGGACATGGTGGTGTCTTTCTCCCTGAGGTTAGGGTTGGACATGGTGGTGTCTTTCTCCCTGAGGTTAGGGTTGGACATGGTGGTGTCTTTCTCCCTGAGGTTAGGGTTAGGCCCAATAGAGAAGAGAGGAGCTCTGGCAACACCAATATGGCTGAGGACCATAGTTAGGACTGACCTGTGATGTCACTATTACCTGTGATGTCACTAAATATATCCATACTTATTTGGACAGTGAAGCTAAATGTTTTAATGTGGCTCTATACTCCAGCATTCTGTCAATGAGATCAAATGTTTCATAAAAGGAATTTTGCTGATAGCTGATTAGTAAGATAGTGTTTGTTTAAGTAGTCAGCAGTAGGATGCAGTAGTCAGTGGTAGGATGCAGTAGTCAGTGGTAGGATGCAGTAGTCAGCAGCAGGATGCAGTAGTCAGTGGTAGGATGAAGTAGTTAGTGGTAGGATGCAGTAGTCAGCAGTAGGATGCAGTAGTCAGTGGTAGGATGCAGTAGTCAGTGGTAGGATGCAGTAGTCAGTGGTAGGATGCAGTAGTCAGTGGTAGGATGCAGTAGTCAGTGGTAAGATGCAGTAGTCAGTGGTAGGATGCAGTAGTCAGTGGTAGGATGCAGTAGTCAGCAGTAGGATGCAGTAGTCAGTGGTAGGATGCAGTAGTCAGTGGTAGGATGCAGTAGTCAGCGGTAGGATGCAGTAGTCAGTGGTAGGATGCAGTAGTCAGTGGTAGGATGCAGTAGTCAGTGGTAGGATGCAGTAGTCAGTGGTAGGATGCAGTAGTCAGTGGTAGGATGCAGTTGTCAGTGGTGAAATACAGTAGTCAGTGGTAGGATGCAGTAGTCAGTGGTAGGATGCAGTAGTCAGTGGTAGGATGCAGTAGTCAGTGGTAGGATACAGTAGTCAGTGGTAGGATGCAGTAGTCAGTGGTAGGATGCAGTAGTTAGTGGTAGGATGCAGTAGTCAGTTGTAGGATGCAGTAGTTAGTGGTAGGATGCAGTAGTCAGTGGTAAAATACAGTTGTAGTGGAAGGATGCAGTAGTCAGTGGTAGGATGCAGTAATCAGTGGTAGGATGCAGTAGTAGTGGAAGGATGCAGTAGTCAGTGGTAGGATGCAGTAGTCAGTGGTAGGATGTAGTAGTCAGTGGTAGGATGCAGTAGTCAGAGGTAGGATGCAGTAGTCAGTGGTAGGATGCAGTAGTCAGTGGAAGGATGCAGTAGTCAGTGGTAGGATGCAGTAGTAGTGGAAGGATGCAGTAGTCAGTGGTAGGATGCAGTAGTCAGTGGTAGGATGCAGTAGTCAGTGGTAGGATGCAGTAGTCAGCGGTAGGATGCAGTAGTCAGTGGTAGGATGCAGTAGTCAGTGGTTGGATGCAGTAGTCAGTGGTAGGATGCAGTAGTCAGTGGTAGGATGCAGTAGTCAGGGGTAGGATGCAGTAGTCAGTGGTAAAATACAGTTGTAGTGGAAGGATGCAGTAGTCAGTGGTAGGATGCAGTAGTCAGTGGTAGGATGCAGTAGTAGTGGAAGGATGCAGTAGTCAGTGGTAGGATGCAGTAGTCAGTGGTAGGATGTAGTAGTCAGTGGTAGGATGCAGTAGTCAGAGGTAGGATGCAGTAGTCAGTGGTAGGATGCAGTAGTCAGTGGAAGGATGCAGTAGTCAGTGGTAGGATGCAGTAGTAGTGGAAGGATGCAGTAGTCAGTGGTAGGATGCAGTAGTCAGTGGTGGGATGCAGTAGTCAGTGGTAGGATGCAGTAGTCAGCAGTAGGATGCAGTAGTCAGTGGTAGGATGCAGTAGTCAGTGGTTGGATGCAGTAGTCAGTGGTAGGATGCAGTAGTCAGTGGTAGGATGCAGTAGTCAGGGGTAGGATGCAGTAGTCAGTGGTAAAATACAGTAGTCAGTGGTAGGATGCAGTAGTCAGTGGTAGGATGCAGTAGTCAGTGGTAGGATGCAGTAGTCAGTGGTAGGATGCAGTAGTCAGTGGTAGGATGCAGTAGTCAGTGGTATCCAGGCTCTGTCGTAGCCGGCCGCGACCGGGAGACCCATGGGGCGGCACACAATTGGCCTAGCGTCGTCCAGGGTAGGGGAGGGAATGGCCGGCAGGGATGTAGCTCAGTTGGTAGAGCATGGTGTTTGCAACGCCAGGGTTGTGGGTTTGATTCCCACGGGGGGCCAGTATGAAAAATACAAAAAATTATGTATGCACTCACTAACTGTAAGTCGCTCTGGATAAGAGCATCTGCTAAATGACTAAAATGTAAAATGTAATGTAAATGTAGGATGCAGTAGTTAGTGTTAGGATGCAGTAGTTAGTAGTAGGATGCAGTAGTTAGTGGTAGGATGCAGTAGTTAGTTGTAGGATGCAGTAGTCAGCGGTAGAATACAGAAGTAGTGGAAGGATGCAGTAGTCAGTGGTAGGATGCAGTAGTTAGTGGTAGGATGCAGTAGTTAGTGGTAGGATGCAGTAGTCAGCGGTAGAATACAGAAGTAGTGGAAGGATGCAGTAGTCAGTGGTAGGATGCAGTAGTTAGTGCTAGGATGCAGTAGTCAGTGGTAGGATGCAGTAGTCATTGGTAGGATGCAGTAGTAGTGGAAGGATGCAGTAGTCAGTGGTAGGATGCAGTAGTCAGTGGTAGGATGTAGTAGTCAGTGGTAGGATGCAGTAGTCAGAGGTAGGATGCAGTAGTCAGTGGTAGGATGCAGTAGTCAGTGGAAGGATGCAGTAGTCAGTAGTAGGATGCAGTAGTAGTGGAAGGATGCAGTAGTCAGTGGTAGGATGCAGTAGTCAGTGGTAGGATGCAGTAGTCAGTGGTAGGATGCAGTTGTCAGTGGTGAAATACAGTAGTCAGTGGTAGGATGCAGTAGTCAGTGGTAAGATGCAGTTGTAGTGGAAGGATGCAGTAGTCAGTGGTAGGATGCAGTAGTCAGTGGTAGGATGCAGTAGTAGTGGAAGGATGCAGTAGTCAGTGGTAGGATGCAGTAGTCAGTGGTAGGATGTAGTAGTGAGTGGTAATATGCAGTAGTCAGAGGTAGGATGCAGTAGTCAGTGGTAGGATGCAGTAGTCAGTGGTAGGATGCAGTAGTAGTGGAAGGATGCAGTAGTCAGCGGTAGGATGCAGTAGTAGTGGAAGGATGCAGTAGTCAGTGGTAGGATGCAGTAGTCAGTGGTAGGATGCAGTAGTAGTGGAAGGATGCAGTAGTCAGCGGTAGGATGCAGTAGTAGTGGAAGGATGCAGTAGTCAGTGGTAGGATGCAGTAGTCAGTGGTAGGATGCAGTAGTAGTGGAAGGATGCAGTAGTCAGCGGTAGGATGCAGTAGTCAGTGGTAGAATGCAGTAGTCAGTGGTAGAATGCAGTAGTAAGTGGTAGGATGCAGTAGTCAGTGGTAGGATGCAGTAGTACTGGAAGGATGCAGTAGTCAGGGGTAGGATGCAGTAGTCAGCAGTAGGATATAGTAGTCAGTGGTAGGATGCAGTAGTCAGTGGTAAAATACAGTAGTCAGGGTTGGATGCAGTAGTCAGTGGTAAAATACAGTAGTCAGTGGTAGGATGCAGTATTCAGTGGTAAAATACAGTAGTCAGTGGTAGGATGCAGTAGTCAGTGGTAGGATGCAGTTGTCAGTGGTGAAATACAGTAGTCAGTGGTAGGATGCAGTAGTCAGTGGTAGAATGCAGTAGTAGTGGTAGGATGCAGTAGTCAGGTGTAGGATAAAGTAGTCAGCAGTAGGATATAGTAGTCTGTGGTAAATACAGTAGTCAGGGGTAGGATGCAGTAGTCCGTGGTAAATACAGTAGTCAGTGGTAGGATACAGTAGTAGTGGTAGGATGCAGTAGTCAGGTGTAGGATGCAGTAGTCAGCGGTAGGATGCAGTAGTCCGTGGTAAATACAGTAGTCAGTGGTAGGATACAGTAGTCAGGGATAGGATGCAGTAGTCAGTGGTAAAATACAGTAGTCGGTGGTAGGATGCAGTAGTCAGTGATAAAATACAGTAGTCAGTGGTAGGATGCAGTAGTCAGTGGAAGGATGCAGTAGTCAGGGGTAGGATGCAGTTGTCAGGGGTAGGATGCAGTTGTCAGTGGTGAAATACAGTAGTCAGGGGTAGGATGCAGTAGTAAGTGGTAAATACAGTATTCAGGGGTAGGATGCAGTAGTCAGTGGTAGGATGCAGTAGTCAGTGGTAGGATGCAGTAGTCAGGGGTAGGATGCAGTTGTCAGTGGTAGGATACAGTAGTCAGGGGTAGGATGCAGTAGTCAGTGGTAAAATACAGTAGTCAGGGGTAGGATACAGTAGTCAGTGGTAGGATGCAGTAGTCAGAGGTAGGATGCAGTAGTCAGCGGTAGGATATAGTAGTCCGTGGTAAATACAGTAGTCAGGGGTAGGATGCAGTAGTCCGTGGTAAATACAGTAGTCAGGGGTAGGATGCAGTAGTCAGTGGTAAAATACAGTAGTCAGGGGTAGGATGCAGTAGTCGGTGGTAGGATGCAGTAGTAGTGGTAAGATGCAGTAGTCAGAGGTAGGATGCAGTAGTCAGTGGTAGGATGCAGTAGTCAGGGGTAGGATAAAGTAGTCAGTGGTAGGATGCAGTAGTCAGTGGTAAAATACAGTAGTCAGGGATAGGATAAAGTAGTCAGTGGTAAAATACAGTAGTCAGTGGTAGGATGCAGTAGTCAATGGTGAAATACAGTAGTCAGTGGTAGGATGCAGTAGTCAGTGGTAGGATGCAGTAGTCAGGGGTAGGATGCAGTTGTCAGGGGTAGGATGCAGTTGTCAGTGGTGAAATACAGTAGTCAGGGGTAGGATGCAGTAGTCAGTGGTAAAATACAGTAGTCAGGGGTAGGATACAGTAGTCAGAAGTAGGATGCAGTAGTAGTGGTAAGATGCAGTAGTCAGAGGTAGGATGCAGTAGTCAGCGGTAGGATATAGTAGTCCGTGGTAAATACAGTAGTCAGGGGTAGGATGCAGTAGTCAGTATAAAATACAGTAGTCAGGGGTAGGATACAGTAGTCAGTGGTAGGATGCAGTAGTAGTGGTAAGATGCAGTAGTCAGAGGTAGGATGCAGTAGTCAGGGGTAG